AATGACTTACCTTTCCCTGCTTCCCTCCCAATTCCCTCTGCCTTCCATGGGCCCCAGGGATCTCTCTCTCTCTCTCTCTCTCTCTCTCTCTCTCTCTCTCTCTCTCTCTCTCACACACACACACACACACACACACACACCCTCTCCACTGCATGCCTCATCATGAAATTGCACGCACTTGACTTCTTGGACCAGCCTGCTTTACTGCACCCCCTCCCGGCCAGTGGGGGACCCTTAGCTGAGCTCTTCCAACCCTTGGGGAAGACAGGCCCCTTTTCTTCTTCTCGCCACCCCTCTACGGGGTCAGAGTCCTGGAGAGCCACACAGGCCTTCTGCTGGGGTCAGGCAGGGTTTAGGGAAGCAGCTAGATGTCAAGCACCTACTCTGTGTGGCAGCCCCGAGATGCACTGCTTCCATGGGCCCCCTCATTTCAGCCCTCCAGCACCTCAGTGCTGGGAGCTGGAGTTTCAGAGAGGCGGGCGCCGGCTTGGGCCTCTAATGCTCATCAAAGGCAGAGCAGGGACCGGAACTCACGCCTGTGGTCCGGGTTTGGGAGAGGCCTCTTTTCAGGGTGCCCCATCCATGCCCCTGGGGCTTCTTGCGTGCCTGGGATGTGCTGGGTGAGCGAGAGTTAGACAGGAAGGTGCCTGATGTCTGGGCCCTGCAGGCTCCCAGGCCAGTGGCCAGCGCAGGCTGCCGGGTGGTGAGCCCATGTTTGTTGCCGCTTCTTCCTGCTGCGGCACCTCTTGGCTTCCCAGAAAGCCCTGGTTCAGGGTTCTGCTTGAAGTGGGCGTATGGGGTGGGTGTGGGGGTGGCCTAGACCCTTCCCCAGGTCAATCCAGTTGCCCCAAACCCTCTCAGGTGGAAGGGGGGAGAGTGAGGGAGACATGCTTGGGCAGCTAGAAAACAGCCATGAAGGATGGCTTAGATTCTTTGAAAAAGGACCCTGGGGTCTGGTGTCTGACTTCCTGGCTGGGGTCTGTCCGGGACCCATGTGTGGGGTCTGGGGACCGCCTGCTGCCGTGGGAGCTGGTCCTGTCACCTCTGGCGTCCGAGGTTGTCGTGCTAGTGAGTCTGGAGCCCTGCTGCCCTCCCAGCACCCCCTGTGCCGGCCCTCAGCCGGGTGAGGTCGTGGAAGGGAAAGTTCCCTTCCGCAGTCCTCCAGGGGAGGGCAGGAGCTGGGGATGGGGCTGCCGGGAGGGGCCAGGCTGGGCTGGACCAGGGCAGGGGGCTCATCTGCCTGGAAGAGAAGGGGGAACAGAGGGCTCAGTGGCCGTGGAAGCCAGGCTGGGGCTGTGGGCGTCCCAGGGCAGCCCCTGGAAGCCGGGACCTCTTTCGGGCCTGAGAGTGAAGCTCGTCAGCTGCCCTTGTTTCTTCCCTGCAGCCCCGAGACCCCGCAGAAGGTGAGGGCCCAGCGTGCCCCGGCCTGGGTCTGCTGTGAGATCTGTGGGCCTCTCCAAGCCGTTCCCCGACCCTGGCTGTGTGCACTAGGGGGGCAGAGACAAGCGGGGTTCATTCAGGCTCTTCCCAAGTGAGGGGCAGGGGAGCAGGAGGCAGACTTAGCTGGATGGAGGTGGGACAAGCCAGGCAGGTGGGGTGGGGAGCTAGGCCCTCTTAGACCGGAGCATTCTAGGGCCTCTGGGGACTTCCACCATCTCCGGTTCTTCCCTCTTGGATCCCAAGGGACTGGGACATCAGTGAGTTCATTTTTTCCTTAAACTCCTCACAGAGGGGCCCAGCCGGGGGCTCTCAGTCAGGTCAGAGCCGGGCCAGGCCCTGAGGTCGGCCAGGAGCCCACATCCTTTGCCCTTTGGGTGTAGAGCCCCGTCAGCAGGGCGTCAGCAGGGCGGCCCAGGTGAGGTTGAAGATCGGGGTGAGGCAGGGTTCACTCTCCCCACGGAAGCAATGCCGTGTCGGGCTTCAGAGCCGGCGAGTGTCTCCTCAAAGACACTGACCGGGTAGCAGAGCCAGCCCCCGGCCCGGTGGAGTTCCCGGCCGCTGATCCCTGAGACGGATGTGTGCAGCTGCCCCGGGCCTTGGCGGCGCCCTGCCCGAGAGCGCGTGCTTCCTGCGAAGGAGCCCGGGCCAAGGCGAGCCAGCAGCTGTTCCTGGGACGCAAATGAAAATAGAGAATTAAAAAAATGAATAACTGTTCGTTGAGCCCTCCATGCACATGCTCTGCCCTGATCTCTAATCCCCCCAGTGCACCGGCAGAGGAGGTGTCATCCCCTTTCATAGCTTGAGGCTGTGAGAGGATCGAGCTGTCAGATCGCACAGCCCGATGGTGGCAGCTGAGAATCAAAGCCAGGGCTCCCCGGCCCCCCAGCACCCCCTCCTCCCATTACAACAGCTTTTCTCCCCTGCAGGAGGCTGTTTTCCAGGATTCTGGCCTGGGAGGTGTTCTGAGGGTGTGCGCTCCTGTGGGTGACATCAGAAAACCCCGGGGCAGACTTCTCACCCCTCTAGGTCTGAGGGTTGGGGGGCTGTGCCTGCCCTGCTCTGACCCTGGGGTCTGTGCGCGGACCTTCCCTGGCAGGGCCTGCAGCACTGCGGCCCGTGGTCTTGGGGTCCTCACCGAGGGCCAGTAGGATCCAGGAGCCCCAGGAGCAGGCTCTGCCCCAGGCATCCCTTCGCACCAGCATCCGGTACAAATGACAGGAGCAAACCAGATACCAACAGGAAGGGAACTGAGCTGATTGTGGGAGCCTGTTGCCTAGCTACCGGCCTGGCCTAGGCAGCTCTGAGTTGGGGGGGGGGTTCACCCCGCTCCTTTCACTGTGGCTGGACGCATGGGTGGCGGTGCTGTGGTTCCTGCCTCCACCTGCCAGTCTCAGTCCCAGAGAGAGTGGGGCTCAGCAGCAGGCAGGGCGGCTCCCAGACCCAGAGGGACCAGTGGCGGTTTGGGCAGCATCCAGAGCTGCAGTCGGGCCTTCCTCCTTTTCTCTGGGCGGGCAGGAGGCCGATGAGTGGGCCCGGGACGCTCCCTCCCCCGCCCCAGTCTGCAGAGGTGCCAGGGGCTGGCTCACTGACCAGCCCTCTTCAGGATGATAGTCTTTTGGCTAAATCCGTCCCTGGATGGGGTTTTCCCACAATGTCGCCCTTCTACATGGAGGACACCACGCACAGGATCCCGCCGCCCCAGAGGCCGCTGGAGCTGCGCTTTCGTGTCCATTAAGCATCCGCCAGGTGTCGGGTGTCACCCCTGCTTTCTTCCAGTGTCTCATCTGGCCCATGCGAGGCAGGGATTGTTTTGGTTTTCAGAGAAGGAAACTGAGGCCCAGAGGGGCTGGCTCAAGGTCACACAGACCTCATGAGTCCAGGCGGCTTCTCCGGTGCCTCGGCGCCTCCGGCGGCGTCTGCTGGAGGCCTGTGACTCAGGAGGGCTCAGTCTGCTGTCCCCCCCACTTCTCACTCGTCTCCCTCCAATCTGAAGCCCCGTCTCCATCCCCAGGTTGGCTCACATCTGAGCTGCTCGCTCTCGGTCGGTCCTCTCACTGTAGGACTGTCGTGGGACAAAGAAAGGAGACTAGCAACCTTGGCCCAGGCAGGGGCCCGAAGCCATGGCCTAGAAGGGAAATGCCCGGCGAGGGCCTCTCGCCCCTGCTGAAGGCCCCGGCTTCTCAGCCTGGCATTGCCAGGGCCAGCTGGTCGGTGGGCACGACAGGCTTCAGAATGAGGGCAGGACTCCCTGGTCCCTCGCCCGCTGCCCTCTGGGGGAGGGAGAGCCGGCCAGCTGAGCCCAGTGCCAACAGGCCCAGCCGCAGCCCCCCGCCTGCCCTGAGGCCCTCCATGTCCTCCTGGGTTGGTTTTGTGTTTCTTCTCTGGTTCTCACAGCCCCGCGTTTGCCTCTTGAACATCTTGTCTCTGGATGGTGAGGTGTTTCCGTCACCGGGGGGTTGGGTGTGAAGTGTGGGGGGGGGATAAAATAAATGGGGACTATTCTGGAGATATGGGGAGAGAGGAGGCAAGAGCAGAGTCAGGCAGCTGGGCCTGGGAACAGGGAGCCCCCAGGCCGCTCCCCTCCACCATGGGCAGTGTCAGCCTGGGATGCTGGCACCAGGGCACGCAGGCCATCCTTGTGCCTGGGCAGCCGCCCTGGCAGGACCTCTGCCCAGCACCCTGCTGCGGGTTCCAGGCTGGGGGAGGGTTACCTGGCCCTGGCAGGGTCCCCATCAGTCAGTAGACTCGGCCCAAACACAGAACCAGAGTCTGAGCGCCCAGGTGCCTGGAGGTGTTCCTGGGCACACCTGTCACTTCTAGCCCCAGTTAGGGGGGCTGACCATCTCTCCCCACGACAGGCTCCCTGGGACCAGGAGAGGGAGCCGGCAGCCCCCTCGGCAGCAGTCACTCAGAAAACATTTCTTGAGCTCTTACTGCATGCCCGGCACCGAGCTGGGCGCTTACTGCATGCCGGCACCGAGCTGGGCGCTTAATGCATGCCGGCACCGAGTGGGCGCTTACTGCATGCCGGCACCCAGCTGGGCTCTAAATATAAAGACCAGTCAGGTGGCACTTGTTCCTGAAAAGAGCCCGGCCAGGTACAGGTACAGTAGGTGGCTGTCGGGGGAAACTGGGGGCAGGAGATAGTAATGACAATACAAGATGGATCAGGAGCCATGTCCCCATCTTAAAAGTTCACTAGGAGGTAAGAGGAGGAAGGGCTAAGTCCCACCTCCATGCGGCCGGTTGCGGGGTGTGCAGGCAGCTTCTCGGAGGAGCTGGGAGGTGAGCTGGGAGGCCCGCAGGATAGCCACTTGGCTCCCTGAAGTGGTTTTTAGAAGGAGGCGGGTTATAAATATGTCTCCAGTGTGGGTAGTGTTTACCCATGCAGTAAGGGGCGAGGGGGCTTCCCGGCCAGGGGACCGGCTTGAGCAGGGACAGGACGGCTCGGGACACGGATGGGCACTGTTTGGCCGGATCAGTTCTTGGCCAGTGGTCTGGGCTGGACTGCACGCCTTCTGGGGCCCTCAGGGGTCCCCAGGGGCCCCAAGTGCTGCCTTGGCAGGGGGTGGGGTTAGACAGAGGCTGGCTCTGGGCATGGGAGCCAGTGGCCAGGTCCTGCTCCTGGGGGAGCGGGGGCCTCTTGGCTTGAACCTGGGCCTCTCAGTGCAGGCCCTGCCCCAGGAGCCCAGGCACCGCTCAGAGGTGCCTGGCCTTGCAGACCAGCTCCTCGCCTCCTCTTAGCCGCAGGCTGCCCACTCCCTTCCCGGCGCTGCCTGGGCACTAGGATCTCGCTTCCCCGGGAGGCTCAGCTCTTCACCTCATCCCCACAGGTCTTCCTCTGCAAGTGTCCTTGGCTGTGGTCTCAAGTTCCTCTTCTCCTACACTCCATCCTTAATATAGGCTTTTGGGGCTGAGTCTCCTGATGTGTATCTGTCCATCTGTCCCCCTGGCTCCCCTCCCTGCCCCGCTGGTTGTCTTCAGTTCCCGGTGACGGTGCCTGTCACCTCCCAACCACCCCTGGCCGGTGCCAGATCCCCCAGACACTCTAGCTCTGTGCTGAGCTGTACAAATATCATTTCTTTTAATCCTCAGAGCAGCCCGTAAGAGAAGTACTACTCTCCTCCCCGCAGCACACCGAGCATGCTGTAGCCCCAGGGCCTTTGCACAGCTGCTCCCTCTGCCTCAGCTCCTTGGGATCGGCTCTCACTCCTCAGTCTCTGCTTAGGTGTCTTGACCTTGGCTTTGGGGCCGTGCCTGACCACCCTGTTTGAAATAGCTCCCCTCCCTCACACTCCTATTCCCTTTGTCTCTATTTCTCTAAGGCTTTTCCATCTCACATAGTACACGTCGTACTTCTTTGTTTGTGGACCGTCTCCCTCCACTAGAGGGTAAGGTCTAAGGGATGGGGTGTCTGCTTTGTTCTCTGCTGTGCCTCAGCCCCCCGAACAGGGCCTGGCACCAAGGAGGTGCTCAGCTTTCCATCTACGGACCATGATCAGAGAGGCCAAGAACCTCGCCCAGGGTCTCCCAGGAAGTCAGTGGTGGAGCCTGACCGCACCCGGATGCGTGACTTTACCTTTCCATCCAGGGCAGTTCTAGGGTGAGCTGGTGGAGGAGGCTGGGCACAGGGCTGGCCACTGGCTGAAATAGCTGGGCCCTCATTTGGGGGGCCGGCTGGAAAGACGGCCCTGAGCTGAGGCAGAAGGCCTGGCCTCGGTTTGCTCCTGAGAAATGGGCACATGTGGCCACCCTTTACCTGCCCTCAGCTCTGACAGGTGGAGGTGAGGGTGGCAGTGACTAGACGGGACAGTTCTGTCTGTTAAAAAAAGCTACATGTGTGCGCACTGCGGGGATGGGGCAGTTCCTGCTGCCGGGGAGGGTGCTTTGCACTCCCCAGGAGGGGTTCCTGCCCCTGCCGCAGAGGACCCTGGGGCAGCAGGGGAGGGAGGCACCAGGCGGCTCCTTGGCCTGGGGGTAAGAGTAGCCCAGGGCCCAGGGTCCTCCCTCGCTTCCCCCCTCTGCACCCTCTGCCCTGCCCCTTGGCAGGCTTCCTGAACTTGTTTTTCTGCATCACTAATTACTTCACCCTCCTCCCTGGTGGGCCAAGCTCCTCCTAACTTCTCCTCAGAGAGCAGGCTCCTGCTCCCCTTGCTTCTCCGCAGAGCTGGGTGTGCTGTCCCCACCCCTTGTCCCAACCCCTTTGCTTCTGGGGGGAGGGTGGCTCCAGGACTGTGGGCTCCCAGCTCACATCACCGTGACCTCTGGGCAGCTCATCTCTGGATGCCACGGAGAGCTCAGAGGTTGGAGCCCTTGGCCCAATGCGATGCCACACCAGCCTGTATTGCCCTGACAGCCCATTTCTTGGGAAGAACACTGAGGCCAGAAAAGGAACTTGACATTTACCTTCATGGGGCAGAGCAGGCAGGAGAAGCTCCGGCAAAGTTGCCATGAGGGGAAGTGTGTCTGTGTCTTCCCCATTCTTCTGTCCCTGTCGGATCAGCCCGTCCCTGTTCAACTGTAAATAAGATAAGTCTTGCCCTGGCCCGTGTGGCCCAGCTGGTTGGAATGTCATCTCCTGCCCTCAAAGGTCGTGGATTCGATTCCCAGGCAGGGCACATACCTAGGTTGCGGGTTCGATCTCCAGTCAGGTGCATATGGGAGACAACTTATCAATGCCCCCCCCCCCATCAATAAAAAAGTCTTAGTGTATGATGGGTGTCTGCTCTAAGCCCCAGGTCCACATCCCTGAGAGGGACAGCCATCAGGGAGCCGGCTGGGGGAGTATGGACGGTTCAGAGAAGGCTGTCCCGGCCTGTGAATCGACCCTGGCCGGGAGGTGGTGCAGGTTGATGTGAAGAGAAGGTGCAGGCTCGGAAGTTAGCAGTGCTGAGTTCAAGCCCCCCCTCTCCCGCCCGGCTTCCAGGCTGTGTGCATTAGGCAAGTCCGTGATGAGGCCTGCTTCCCAGGTCCCTGGGAGGACTGAGGCAACACACACACAGAGCCCCGCTGTGCCCGGCACGGAACAGACAGCTGATGGATGTTCCTTCCCAGAGTTCCCTCCTCGCCTGCTCTCGCTCCGTTTTCCCAGACCCCCGTGTTCTCTGGTGTGTGCTGCCCCCAGGCCCCATCCAGGTGCAGACTCCCCGGGAGGGGAGCAGCTCTGAGGCCTCATTTGACGGCCACGCCATGGGCAGGTGGAAATCCGGCGTGGGGGTGGCCAGGTGGGGGGGGGTCATGGTCCCCTCTCACCCGCCGGTTGTGGCTCAGCCCTGTGCTCGGGAGGAGCCCACCCCCACCCACCCAGCCGAGCAGGCAGCACCATGGGCCCCCGACCCCGGCAACGGCGCCCTGACAGCGGTGAATGGCATCGCATGAATAACAGATGACGGCTCCGTAATTGGTGTTATTACACATGCATTTCATCTCCATTCATAATGGTCGGACACTTAACCCCGCCGTCATCACTCTGTGAGATCCCAGCCGCTGTCTGGACCAGCCGCTGCCTCGCTCGGGTCCTCACGGGTGCAGCCGAGTTCTGTTTGGAGCTTAGGGCTCAGGAAATGCCAGTCTGGGGAGCGGGAGGGTGGTTATTCTGGGCAGACCACCCTGTCTCCTGCGGTGGAATATATGCCTCCTTCAGGCGCTTCCCACTGCCGGGCAGTCGGCCGGGACATCCTAAGGTGAGAGGCAAGAGAGGGGCTGGGGCTTGGGGCTTCCGGATGTGGGTCATGGCCGAGCTTCGCAGGCTCAGCCGACAGAAAGAGGCCCAGGGTCGCCCCCTGCCTTGGGCATATCCCATCGTGCAGTGGGCCTCCAGATGCAGTGTGCTCAGGGTCCCCTGGGAGGTCATTTAGTGTGTCCGCCCCCCCCCCTGGTCGCCAGTGGGCTTGGGCGGGGCCTGGGAATTTGCATTTCTAACTGGTTCCCAGGT